CATCAGAGGTATCACGTTTACACACAGGTCAACGGTCAACAATTGGAAAGACAGCGCTGAAAACAAAAATAAACGACGGCATGGTAACGACATGCACACGAAGGTCCTGGGTCAGACAAGGCAGCATCGAGCATGCCTTTTCCAACCGATCGCAGTTTTCTCTGTTCCCACGCTGCCCTCTCCAACACGGAGTCACCAAACGCCCTGGATGCTTGGTCTTTGGCCGTCCCCTCGCGTCCTGAAAATGGCACCGGCATGCTCCAACGGCTGTGTAATTGTGTGGTTTAGGGAACGGGGTGGGTTTGGGTGAGAGGACGAACGTGGGGCCGGAGCAGAAGGCGAGTGAGGTCTACTCTCAACGACTCAATACATTTTATTGCCATCATCGGATACAGACGTTGCCTCCGCGAAACAAGCACCAATAGTGTCGACATGTTGTATTAAGCAAAGACCATCGGACTTGGCTTGCAACATCTCATGGACAGTGGTGGTTACATATGCCAGGGAGTCACTCACTAGATATGCCCCATGGCTCAACGGGTCAGTCAACATGCTGGCACGTGCAGCACATCAATTAGTGTTTGTATTTAGCCTGCTGTATGTCGGACAGAAGCTTCGTCAGTCTTGTGCTCAGAGAGCGGAGAGCCTCAGGCACAGACGTTCTCAAGCAGGCGTTTTTAGCAACGGCGCAGTCAACTACTGTTAAGCTTGACGCCCGCCCCTTGTGACCTGATATGGTCAAGCATTTCATGTCGTTGTAATTTTCTAATCGTTTTTTGGCATTTAGATGGCAATGGTATAAATGCCTTGCGTACATAATTCAGGTACAGACGAAGTTCATAAACAATTTTTATCACCATTCAACAATGACTGTTACCCTGCAAACTGTCGCTGGTCGGTGGCTCGGGCCGATGGCTGAGGTAAGATGTCGTTGGTCGGTGACTCGGGCCGATGGCTGAGGAAAGATGTTGCACCTAGCAACGTCGTCCGGCCGATTTGTGCATGTTTTTTAGAAGTATCGTTCCCCAGCCGATGTATACACAAACAACGACCCCTTGGTAGCTTTCATTTTGTTCACTGACATTGTTCAACGCGTGCCAATGCGGGGTCAACTTGACCTCGCCGCGAAAGTTCTACAACATAATTCTCGAACGGCGCGTAGTAGCCGCACCAAACTTTCAACACTTGTGGGTAGTTGAATAGAAGATCTTTGGGTACACAAGTCAGATCTCTCTGCCGGGCTGCTGACCTCTGGTAGGCCGTAATCAGCCGGCGGCTGTCAACGAAGGCAATTTTTATGGACTGGTTCAACCTACTGCGACAACGGTTTGTCAGACGCAACCGTGCATCTCTGAAATCGTTTTTTAGGCAATGAAAAACGATTTGATTTAGGGTTACAACAAATTCCATTGACCTGGGGTCAGGTATGAAGGAAGGACTGAGGTCAAAACCAGTCCGCTTTTTTACTAAAACGCTCGTTTTACAGGATTGTTGTTGATGCTCATTTCAAATCTCTTGGCAGTAGGGACCGCGAGAGATATATTCCATGAGCTTCTTAAAGGTCCTAATAGGTCACTGACCTAAAATGACCCAGATCGACCATTCATTTTAAGGACCGCACCGCTTAGCGTAATCCTTAACATTTACTCAAATTTAAAAACCAAAACATTCTCGTAGGTTCTTTAAATGTCATGAGTTTCATTAAGTTAACAAGGTCACCGACCTAAGATGGAGACCAGTAATTTTTTTCTTAGAACATATAGCTAGGCTCAGGGCAGTTGCGTCAGGGGATCTGGGGGCACTATGGACACTAATCTTGAGTCTGACCTTATTTGACCTTATTTGACCCGAAGGTCATGGCCTATGGACATCAAATTTTGACATAAATGAGTTTACATACAGACCAACCCCCTGCTAATTTTGTGTTCCTAAATTCCTTATCATTTGAGATCTTAGGGGGTTAAGCTTCCCACCCACGAGCAAAGGGCATTCAACCTGCCATCCGGGCGCGTTGAAGTAAACAGGTTGCTGGGACAGATTTCGATCCCAACAGGATGCATGTGGATGGCTTGAGTTGCAACTAGAATGGGTCGTTTACCATACCAAAGACAGCAGGTCTATAAAACTTGCGGTCTAACAAGTTCAGAGTTTTTGTGCTGAGTTGGCGACCTTTAGTATGCCAGGAGGTACTGGTTAAGCGACTTTTTAAGGGAGCATTGGCTATGTTGGCAATTCTTGACGTTTCAAGCTGTGCTCATGAAGACTCGTGTCGTTGACGGCGTTAAACGTACTGCTAGTCTAATGAAGGTTGACATCTCATCATAAGGGCCACACGCTCATACATTTCGAAAACCCAGGAGCTGAAGACACTCCCTGCAAACATAAACTGCAATTTCTGACCTTTTCCGGGCGCTCCTTTCATATGGTGTAATATAGAAAACACTTGAAGTGAAGCATGTGTGGGTGTGTATTCCGTTTTTCTTACGAGTTCTATCGCAAGACCTGAACATATTTTATGATCTAAGGCCCTTAAAATATACGCATCTGTGCCTACTAACCGATTTAGCATGCGTGACGGTGAACCGAAGAGCAGGTCATATTGCAATCAAGGGGGAAAGTCGGGATCACCAGGTGGTTTTGGACTCTTATGATGATACCCGTGTTTCCTAACGAAGAGACGGCCGTGTTCACGGCTTTCGTGATGACATTACAATGCTGCAAGCTAAAACCTCTGTACGGTATAAATAGTATACGGTGTAAGTGCATTATACCTCACTTGCCTTTTCGCGATGAGTTTTTACTGAGCGACGACAAATCCGCTCGACAAGGTAATATAATGTTCCAGTAATTAACGAGAGCATTGACACCTCCCACATTATGAATATATCCATTTAATTTGTTTTTCATTACAAATCTCTAGAATCTAAATGTCTGTATACCCCTTGCTCACAGCAAACGTTCCCTATATTCCGGCGAAGCGGCCGAGTTACAACGCCAAGCTTTGTCCGCTAACATCGCATACCAGGCGCATGTGTGGGTCATCATTCATCGCTCCCCCCGACTTGTCAGGCGTGGGGACCTGCGGAGTCGGCCAGCTGCCGCCCGACCACGCCGCACGTGCTGCGTCCGAGGGTTAGTGCAGGTACTGTGGCACAACATCCGCCTCCCCCAGCTGACGTCTGATGCCCAGGAGGCAGCGCTGCTAGCCGAGCCGTGCCGACCTTCGGACTGAAAACGTTTTCCATGCCGGCAGTGCGCTTAGCGAATGCGTGAGCGGCGTTGTGTAAGGCACATTCTGCATTGATGTATTGATCAAACTTGACATGTATCCTCAGAGTCCCACTACGCCTTCCCTGACCATAGAATAATCCTTCGCGTGTTTCGTCTCCACTCAAAGAAAACGTCACACATCACGATAAATGCAGCATAGGAGATTGTGCGCTCCTACCTAGTAGTGCATACAAGTGCTTGCGCGCTTGCTTCGCTAAGCCAGACCGTTTATGGACGATTTGTGTTTGCATTGGTTCGGGACGCATTCAACACGATTCATGAGATGTCCTGGCCGATCTGACCTCTGGCTGCTGGGATGCTTGACGAGGCCGGGTGTGATGTGCTGACTGCCAGGGACGTTCAGAGCTTACTCTCCAGATGTCCACTGCGGCTGGAACATCGTTGTACGTTCCAAAGAGAGAAGCTGGGGACGATCTAGAGCGAGTTCGGTGGGGGGGGGGGGGCGGGGGGGGGGGAGACTCGGCGAGCAGGGGGTGGGGGCGGAAAAGTAAGGAGAGGAGAAAAGATGAAAGGTGACGTAAGTGCCAGCGAAATTTCCCAAACACCAAATTGATACTTTCCTGGGTCATAAAGTCATCTGCAACAACTTGGTCTTGCTGTTCGAAATCGTCTGTATGACTGACAGGTTTTCAGCCTGCCGCGGCCGGCAACTTCCACTGAGCTCTCCGGCACAGGTCGCTGATCTACGGCACACTTCGTCTTCCTGTATGCGGATAGGCCCGGCGGATGTCACAGTTACCGACGGCGGCATGCACGTGATACTGCGCCTGACACAGAAAAACTCCATCACCAGGTGCGTCATGCGTCGACGCAATATCCTGCGGAGGAGAAGGTTTTTGTGGACGATGAAACGCCTTGCTCCCTGACAACTGCGATGAAAGCTCTATCCGTCGAAAGACGTGTGATTACCGTACATGTCTTATCAACTCAGAGCGTATGAACGCGGGCGGTGTGGACCAAACTTTCTGGAAATGTATCGCAAAATGAGCTTCACTACCTTGAAGAAGGACCACTATGATCTACGCCGTGGGGCAGAGGTCAAAGTCATGATGACGATTTGTTCAACTCGCGTCGTCATTGCCTCGTATGTGTTAATGCTCTTTCTTTAAGGGAGCATTTTAAGCTCCCATCTATTAATTGCACTCATTTATGCCGATAAGTGTTTTGCCATTTTTACATAACTCACATGTTCAAAAGGCAAAGCAAATGAAAACCATTACTTTCACAGTGGTGAGCAACGAGTCCATCAGCATGTCTAGCGTCGAAGTCGCCACTGCAGTCTCAATTCTGGACTATTCAGAAGGCCTTATCGTATCGAGAAAACATCCAAGAAAATCATCAATGTTGAGTTCGCGGTGACTTCAAAAACGTGTGTCCGTGTATGTATATATATATATATATATATATATATATATATATGCATATATGTAAATCGATAGATCCAGCGTTGGACACCGAAGGTGAAAACTGCCGCTATCGAGGATGGGGGCCCTGATCACGATGACCACTCAACATGAGCAGTCAAGTTTAGGGTCGGTAAGCGATAATGACAGCCTGATAGTGCGTACCACAGCCTCCCTGTCTAAATCCGCTTCGAGTGAACCACGTCGTGACTTGTAAGGTGCAGCAGCGAGCTGCCCATCCAAACCCTTATGCCTGCCAACAGCCGACAGCCGACGCGAAGCTCAGCAGCCGAGGCAAACACGAAGCATCACCACCGGTATGTATTGAGAACGTCTGAGCGTATGGACAGTCACAGCGGCGACACGCACTCAGCCGGCGTCTCGTGTCGTCCAGTTGGAGCAGAACTGGCGCATCTCCTCGTACTGAAGCCGGTCCTGTGAACACAGCACGTGACCATGAGGGCGTGCAGTTGTCGCTGCCCTTTCAGAGCTTCTTCTCGACTCGCATTTTTGAGATCGCGGTGTCCGATGGCGAGAGTGGCGATCAGTAGCGAGAGTGGCGATCAGTGGCGAGAGTGGCGAATCAGTGGCGGGAGTGGCGATCAGTGGCGAGAGTGGCGAATCAGTGGCGGGAGTGGCGATCAGTGGCGAGAGTGGCGATCAGTGGCGTGAGTGGCGATCAGTAGCGAGAGTGGCGAATCAGTGGCGGGAGTGGCGATCAGTGGCGGGAGTGGCGATCAGTGGCGAGAGTGGCGATCAGTGGCGGGAGTGGCGATCAGTGGCGAGAGTGGCGATCAGTGGCGAGAGTGGCGATTAGTGGCGGGAGTAGCGATCAGTGGCGAGAGTGGCGATCAGTGACGAAAGTGGCGATCAGTGGTGAGAGTGGCGATCAGTGGCGGGAGTGGCGCCATCAACGATCTTTTCACACACTTGGAACACTGCTAACACCATAGAATGATTGACCCTGAACGCTGTCTCTCGTTGGCGGAGCGGGCACGCCGCTCGAAAGTGTCGGTATCAGCCATCTAAGTCCATCATGGTAGGCGAGTTCTGCTCGCAAACTCCAAAAACAACGTACCCTGAGTTCTTCGAAGTCAACGTCCCTGGCAGGGGCGCACCCAGCACATAATTTCAGGGGGCCTGGACACGGCGAGGTCCTCCCTCATGAGTTAGTCACCGAAGAAAAGCATCTACATTTTGTTGTAGGTGTCTTTTGGCGTCTTACATTAATCACGTTATAACGTGACGTTAAGTGCTCTGATTACTGGTCCCTTCCCCACATAATAATCACCGCGATGGAAACGGTCTTTAAATTCGTTGTTTTGATCTGTGTCGTGATACAAACAATGGAGCAAAATCATGAGTAGATCGAAGGAAAACTCGTTTCAATACCCTCTAGTCTGTGTCAATTACAGCGAAATCAAGGAATAAACGTTGCATGTGTTTAAAAAGATCATTTCAAAAGGCTTCTTACCAACCATCCCACTGAGTCCACTCTCGCAAACACGTCTAAAATAAGCTGTTACAAAAATACGCCTCACTCTGTGACAAATCAACTGCAATAATTGTATTGCAAACAAATAGGACGGCTCTCGGGGATAGAACGAGCCCCATAATGTAATGCATTCCATGGATACGGGACCAGGGTTAGGCAATCCACCTCGGCAACACCCATGTGACCGTCATCCAGCTGTTTTCATTCAGGGGAGCGTTGAGCTTGACCTGTATGCTGCATTATCTGATGTTTCGCGAAGAATGTCTTCCCGTGATTCGCCGCTTTATTTAGACGACGTGCGGCGTAGCGCAACGGACGACGTGGCGCCGGCCGGCGGATGGCGTTGGCACGAATTCTGCCCTACATCATGTTTATGTTCCGAAGGACCTTATGGATCTCAGCAGGTGGTCTTGTTATGCAAGTTCTGGAGGAGTCAGGAAATCGTATACGAAGTCGAGAGATCAAATGAAGATCTGGAGCAGCCCCTAACGATTGGGATATTCCGAGACCGTACCCTAAAACAGCTACTTAAATATAGCTCCTGGTTCGGGCCGGTACTTCGAGTTAGTCTGCAGTCGCTTGTAGCGGTCGAGTGTTCCTAATATTGCTCACACCCACAGGACAGAACAGCCCCCCCCCCCCCCCCCCCCGGAGAACACTGATGGGCTCTGTCGGTCAGAAGCTCGGGCAAAAGCAGCAACTTTATGCCCGCACATGAACGCTTTCCGCGACAAAAAGCTGAAAGGTTCTGGAGACGGCCCCTGTGTAGGACAAGAGGTCTGAAAACATGTAGGAGCTCCAACGACGTTCAGGCCCATACATTTCAGGCCAAGTAATGATGCTGAAAATACGACTGCCTGTCTTGCCTTGAGATGAAGGAGCAGGATGGTAAAGATCCAGATCCCGACACACCCGATCCAATGCGCGAAGGATTCAGACTATTGGCACAATACCTATACCTAAAGAGCCTCAGGGCCCTTTCGACATGCCTAGATTGTTATAGTTGGTTACGGTTGCTGATCATTATTACAATGTCATTATTGGCTGATATTATTTCATATACGGTGCCTGTAAACAACCACCGGATCGACTAAATTCGGACACCATATGGACGTAACGAATATGTCAGACAATAGTTGTGTAAATTAGCTGTCTGGTTAATTTACAGGAAAGCACGTTCTATCTTATTTTGATAACGATTCTGATGCACCACCCAATACTGCATGTTGTAGCAAAATCCCAATTGCGCTAAGCCTTCAAGTGGTAACGCACGCGTCTGAACACATATGATACTCTGCAGTTGCATGGGACACCAGTGGGGGTACCAACCGCAGCTGTGTGAGTGCCAGGGCACTCACAAAGCCGGTGCGCCTCCCTCCCCAGCCTCTCCTTTCCCACGCGGCGATGCGCGAGCCGCGGCGGTCTCTTTCCTCCCGACGCACTCCGCAGGCGGGACCTCGGGCGTCTCAGGCAGCCGAATATCCGCTTAGCCGATGCCACGCTGACAAGGGCCAGTTCACAGGTTTTAGGCCGTCTTTACAGTGCATTACTATAGATGGATTGTCAAAATCTGCGATTATTGGGGGCGGGCCCATTGGAGAGAAAAAGAGGAGGCAGCAGAGCACCTAACGGGGTGAGTCGGAACATGCACCCTTTCCAAAATTATCCCAGGAATTAAAACTGATTTAGCACTAACCTTATGACGACCTCTTTAGCCCTGATCATGTGGTACTGAGTGGAAAGAACCACCACTTGCGACTGTCAAGCACACAGACGATGAGAAGTAGCATTTTTTCCAAACATCTGGGCCTCAGATTTCAAGGAAGTTTCCAGCCTCGGTGCCCCCTTCACGTACTCTGCGTGGTTCAGGGAGTCCTAGGACTTCTGGTCATGCCACCGGGCCCCGGTAAACGTGGAGCATATGTGCACAGTCGATTTGCCATTCTCTTCCACGGAAGTGGACGCACGCACAAGTGTTGGCAATCGCAGGTGTATGTGTGTGTGCGATGTGAACGCGTCACAGCTGATTTCACAGACCTCGCACAAAGGTGCGAGGTCTAGGTGACATGATGACGTAAAACAGCTCACAAACGGTAAATGAAAAAAAAACGAATAGCAATACAGTAATAGCGGTAAAATAATTACGGTCAAACGCCTCGCTCGGGACAAAAGCGCCCGCGGACAGAAAAATAGTCTCATCCACACCGATGGATGACCCTAAGGTAAACGAAACGAAAATCGTACCACCGCAAAAACGTCAAAACTCCCAACAAATATGACGCCGAGTCAGACCACGGATCTGCCCACACCATGCGAGGCGCCTGCGCTGAAGCCGACGGAATCCAACGCACCTGCCGTGTGCTGACCTCGGCCTGCGCTCATCCAGTCAGACTCCCCGTCAACTGGCCGTCGACTGCGGCCAGCCCAAACCCCTTCAACTAGCCGCCACCGCCAGCCCCGCCCGCCGGCGCCCGACGCCCGTACCTTGGGCCGGACGGAGGGGCGCACGCGCTGGAACGCGGCGTCGAAGTGTCGCCGGTGCACCTCGAGCAGCCGCTCCCTAGCCGTCTCCTTGGCCGCCTGGCGCACCAGGTTGCTGAGGTCGGCGCCGGTCATGCCGTCGCAGCGCGGGTCGGCCGCCACCGAGAGCAGGTCCGCGTCCGCCGCCAGCCGCGGCCGGCTGCCCGCCTGTCGATCACCGGGTCACCGGTCGGGTAAGGTCACGGCAGGTCACATCAGGCCAGGGTACGTCTCGTCAGGTCAAATCAGATCAGGTTATATCACGTCAGGTCAGGCCAAGTCAGATAAAAAAGTGGTTGACCTAAATCAAGTCAGCGATATCCTCCTTAAAAGCGATACTTTCATTAACGACAGGTTAGACAGTTTACATGGGTCATATTGAGGTCAGTTCATGGTCAGCGACTAGCACCACCCGCTGCCAGACGTAGCCCGCCCGCCATGTGTCCGTCGCACATCGTGTCAAGGTCAGGGTCGGAAGGCTGGTCACTTACCTGATGAAATTACACGCGACCAACAAGTGCACCTACATGACTACCTCTCCAAATACTACATCGCAAGCTGTTCAGGTATCGATGCTACATCGGGCCCAGCCTAGGCCACGAAGACCGGAGCGAAACAACTCAACGGCACGACCGCCCTGTAACGAAGCCTGGCCGGCCCCGTACCGCGGCTGCGGCAAGACCGGAGCGTGACCCACCGTCCACGGGCGCAGCAACACCGCAGGCCTCGACGGCTCGCCGCCGATACACGCCCGGCTGGGGGCTGCACGCTGAAGCTGTCACCTCACACCTCCGCGCGGCCTGTTGCCCGTAACCTTTCGACACTCCTTGCCTTGCCGCACCATCCCTTTCGCCGGGTCCCGCCCATCTCCTGTCATCCCTCCGCACTGCTTCCGATCATGCCTTACACTCTTATGCCCCCTGACGACCATGAACTGCTCCTGGCGACCTTCACTTGTTGCTGACCAACTGGACTTTCTCCTCACTTCGCCATGCCTCAACGACCCCACCTGTCCCTGTCGACCTGCCTCTGATCTAGTCCTACTCCCTGCTGAAGTCAAACCGCACTCGTGCCTCGCCCTGACCCCTGTTAACCCGCCCCTCACCCCGCCCCCCCCCCCCCTGGCTGACCGCTGACCTTTGTGACGGCCCTCAGGATGTCGGCACGGTCGGGCGCCGTCGGTAAGCCGACGTACAGCAGCTTGTCGATCCTGCCCGGTCGCAGTATGGCCGGGTCCACGATCTCCGGCCGGTTGGAGGCGGCCATCAGGTAGACGCCCTGGCGGGTCTCCATGCCGTCCATCTCCGTCAGCAGCTGGTTCACCACCCGCGAGCCCGAGCCCGACTGGGGGCCGGGGTCAGGCCGGTCAGTTGGGACGGAAGGGTGGGCGGGTCACCGCCGGGGTCACGCCGGGGTCACGTCGGCCCAGTCAGCGGCAGTGAGGCGGGGAGAGTCGCGACACAGTTGGGGCAATGCGACGGCGGGGTGTTCGACGCGCCGTCCTGTCGCTGCGCGAGAAACGAGGAAGCGGAAGCTTGTCGTACGTCGCTGCTGTGTGTGCTCCTCGCAGACTGGCACTGCTGTGGGTGTTATCAACTACAGACTGGTAGATGCCCCATGCAGCATGCCTGTTCATGCGGCGACAGACACAGGCTTTCGCCGCATGGTACAAATTCCGGACGATGGACAATCACGTGTTGTTTAAGCACGTGTTACAAAAAAAGACGAACAAAAGCGCTACGGTGGACGTTTCTTCCCAACCGTGCCGCGTCATGCATCTGAGCCTTCACTGTGCTGCTACAATAGCACGCCCTATGCTGCATGATTTATCGACGCGCGCAGCTGTTCGGATCCTGCTCGTCACACCCTTCGCGCCGGTAAGCGGTTGATGACGGTGAAATATGCAGGCCGTGAGAACCGAGCGTGGGAACCGACCTCATGTATGCTATGATCGATACAACATTCGGCCGTTGTTTGCGAATGTTTTCATGTCATTTCTTCCTCAAAGTTCACAATCGGCCATTATTTGCGAACATTTTCATGTCATTTCTTCCACAAAGTTCACAAAGACTATCATTCCAATGTTGTCCATGATCGATTGCGATAGTGGTTACGCTTACCACTGATCTAATGGCAGTCGTAGCACAATTAATATTACGTCAACTAAATAACATTTTCGGGTTGTGCGGCCAAGCCTGACTTGACCTTGCAGGCTTGCATCGAAGGGACTGCTTACATCAGCAGTTTCCAGCGGTGGTACTAGCATTATACCGCACTCACCACTTGAGGGTATATTTGCATAGCGCTGCATGCAGATGTCACTAGCGTCAGTTACAGCCAGTTGAATGCGATAGTAGCTTAATACCCAGCGTCAGATTTGTGATTACTTTCGGTTAATCAGAATCAGTCTTCGAGGGCGACCAAGTCTGTGAAGAACTAAGGTCGAATTGACCGCTTTGAAAATCTGTCCGGGCCCGAATCTGGCCGACTTGGCAGATAAATGTGGGATAGGGAACAACAGACCTCGGTATTCTGACTGCACTGGTTCGCGTGTACGTCGCGAAAGACCTCGGAATGGAGTCGACTCTACCTCGGTTGGCGTCAGCATACGTTCAATGATCGGAGACAGAGTCGGAATCAATCAAATTCACTCAGCTGGCCGGTACAGAGTTCCGCTCAAGCGTGATACAACCGCACTACGCATGTGTGTCATTGGGGCCTTCCGGATCAACGCAGACGCGTTAACCACTACACTACCGGCACCCCAACCGCACTACGTACTCATCGCAGAAGAGTGCTATGTTCTCTACCTTCACCGTCCGGACTGAGCTCTGAAAGTCGCCCGCCGGGCCGCGTTCTACCTAAACCAGCAGCAAACTGGAAATGCCGAAGACCAAATCGCTTGTGTCCGTATTCGGCGAGCAAGTGCCTTGAAAACTCCGGGAGTGGGGAGAGTACTTCAAGTCGAATATAGCCAGCATCGTCCTCGGCTGCACATAGGTATTTGCACTCAGACACAAAGGCATAATATAAAGCATACTTTGATTATGTTCCCCTCATGTTTCATACACGAAATCCTGGACCTCAGTCACTCCTTTTGCAAGAATGCTCACCAATCTCGAGAAGGTGAGAGAAATGTGTGTACTACAGAGCCAAACCATTTCCATACAGCAGTGAGTATATACCAGTATACCCCGGGACGACTTTAACTATCACTAAGAATAATAACGCATCACTACGTATAATAAAAACTGTAAAAGCAGTCATCACATTAGCCCGAACTGGTCACTAAAATATAAAACGTAAGTATGCCATCAGAAGAGGAGCCGACGACCCTCCACACTGACACAAGAGCGTGAGCGGCCGAGCGGCCGCCACGCTGAGTTACAAACCGCCAACGACCTCCACTGACACAAGAGCGTGAGCGGCCGAGCGGCCGCCACGCTGAGTTACAAACCGCCACCGACCTCCACTGACACAAGAGCGTGAGCGGCTGAGTGTCCGCCACGCTGAGTTACAAACCGCCGACGACCTCCACTGACACAAGAGCGTGAGCGGCTGAGTGTCCGCCACGCTGAGTTACAAACCGCCGACGACCTCCACTGACACAAGAGCGTGAGCGGCTGAGTGTCCGCCACGCTGAGTTACAAACCGCCAACGACCTCCACTGACACAAGAGCGTGAGCGGCTGAGTGTCCGCCACGCTGAGTTACAAACCGCCAACGACCTCCACTGACACAAGAGCGTGAGCGGCCGAGCGGCCGCCACGCTGAGTTACAAACCGCCAACGACCTCCACTGACACAAGAGCGTGAGCGGCCGAGCGGCCGCCACGCTGAGTTACAAACCGCCAACGACCTCCACTGACACAAGAGCGTGAGCGGCCGAGCGGCCGCCACGCTGAGTTACAAACCGCCGACGACCTCCACTGACACAAGAGCGTGAGCGGCTGAGTGTCCGCCACGCTGAGTTACAAACCGCCGACGACCTCCACTGACACAAGAGCGTGAGCGGCTGAGTGTCCGCCACGCTGAGTTACAAACCGCCGACGACCTCCACTGACACAAGAGCGTGAGCGGCTGAGTGTCCGCCACGCTGAGTTACAAACCGCCGACGACCTCCACTGACACAAGAGCGTGAGCGGCCGAGTGTCCGCCACGCTGAGTTACAAACCGCCACCGACCTCCACTGACACAAGAGCGTGAGCGGCTGAGTGTCCGCCACGCTGAGTTACAAACCGCCGACGACCTCCACTGACACAAGAGCGTGAGCGGCTGAGTGTCCGCCACGCTGAGTTACAAACCGCCGACGACCTCCACTGACACAAGAGCGTGAGCGGCTGAGTGTCCGCCACGCTGAGTTACAAACCGCCACCGACCTCCACTGACACAAGAGCGTGAGCGGCTGAGTGTCCGCCACGCTGAGTTACAAACCGCCGACGACCTCCACTGACACAAGAGCGTGAGCGGCTGAGTGTCCGCCACGCTGAGTTACAAACCGCCGACGACCTCCACACTGACACAAGAGCGTGAGCGGCCGAGTGTCCGCCACGCTGAGTTACAAACCGCCGACGACCTCCACACTGACACAAGAGCGTGAGCGGCCGAGTGTCCGCCACGCTGAGTTACAAACCGCCGACGACCTCCACACTGACACAAGAGCGTGAGCGGCCGAGTGTCCGCCACGCTGAGTTACAATACAAACCCTCTGAGTTTGGCCAACAGCAACGCTTGGCGGAGTCAAAGCAACTAAAATATGATGTTGGCCGTCACAGTGAACGCCTTTCCATAGCGGTCTGCACACTCATATGACGTCATCACACATAGAATCAAACATACTGATATCCAGACATATTTAAACAGTGTTGAGGATTCATGGGCTGGATTCTGGACTTCGTAGAAACCTAGCAAAGGTCTAGGGTTCAGCACCCTAGGGTATATTTTAGGGAAACCATCATGCCTCACTTCTCCGCCGTCAAAATATCTTCATGCGTTTGGCTGGTTACGTCAATGTCGCAATCTTCAATCCTTCCTTACAAGTCATCTTAATACAACTCAGCTTCAAGGCCAGGTCAAGACGGCAAACCAATAAGATGGAAGCCAACCAAATCTCCGCAACGCTCTCCACTTCACTGACCAACCCTTCAACCGCCTTCTCGTCCCGTTTGGAAGCAAAAAAAAAAAAAAACGTCGGCAACTCGCAGCTCAATATGCCCAAGATTCAAAAGGCGTTAAACTTTGCTCCGAGATTCAGTTTCAGCCTCAAAAAGTTTGATCACGAGTGGGATCCGCATCAGTGGCATGGCTGGCTCTCCGCTGCAGATCTACGCAAGTACACACCACCTCACGCACCCACAAGATCCTCCATTCGAACGAGCCTGACTCACTTCTGGTATGCTCCGCACTGTAGGTAAGGTGTACGTCCGGCCCACGAGACAGGACAGTGGTTTATGTATCCCTAGTTCGCGTACTGAGATGGGAAAACGACGTTTTTCTAATTGCGCATCCAAGATGTGCGATTAGAACTCCCGGAATATCGAACTCCCGGAATATCTCCGGCAACTCCCGACTGTCTTTCCCAAAGCATTTGAGGAGGCGTCTCGTGAAACATCTGGGATGCCATGACCAGTTTGTGCGACGGGGTCGTGACTGGTGCGCCTGTGCGTGTGGACAGTGCGTTTGTTTTTGGATGACTGTCCTCATGTCCTCACGACCTATTCGCCGGCCATTTACCTGCTGACGATGGACAGTAATAGCCTGGAGTTTATTCGGGATTATGCACACACAGGTCGACGTCAACGTTACCGTCAAACGTAGCCGTCAACGCTGTACACGAAGTTGAAACCTAGCTGGAAGACAAGTAATAAATGAACGCCAAGAATGAGGCCAGATCAAAAAATCTATGCGCTTTAGACTCTCGTCGTCCCTGAGAAACAGTGCAAGAACTCAACGCCCTCGGATCCCCAGCACCAGACTTACGTCACCCGACGCCACGCGCTTCTGGCAGATGGAGTCAATCTCGTCGAAGAATATGACGCAGGGCGCGGAGTTTTTGGCGCGAGCGAACACGGTGCGCACCGCCCGCTCACTCTCGCCGACGTACTGCAACAGCCCGACACAGCAGGGTCAAAGGCATGGAGGCGACGATGCGAACATCTCCCTCTCAGGCGTGCTGGAAGGCACTGACCACGAGGGTGAGGACGTCCATGTGGTCACGTCCATACGAAGATCAGAACACTTGCAAAGCAGAATCAAGGTCACACTGGACTGGTTGGTTTTAGCGAGCGTGTAGCTCGCAAGAAGCAGCATGTGATTGCGTCTTTCTTGCGGCAGCCCGCGTGATTCCACAACTCGTATCACTGTAATGACCGCCTGTTCAGGCTGGTCAACAAGGACCACCTGGCAGAATTTACAACGGGAAAATAAATGTGAATGCAACAGCAACCAATCAATCCAAATCACAACTTTATATTTTGCGGAAAAGCAGACAAAAGGAAACATGCCTAACAGTTGTTGCAAGCGGTTCACCAGGTTGCACACACTGACGTTCGCGTTTGTGATCTTCATACCACCCCGACACGCCCCCAGCCAACCCGCGTCGTTTGCCGGCCGCTCACTGGCGACGCACCATGTTGAAGAGCTCGGGGCCTTTGACGCTGATGAAGTTGATGCCGGCCTCGTTGGCCACGGCCTTGGCGAGCAGCGTCTTGCCGCAGCCGGGCGGGCCGCACAACAGAATACCGGACGGCGAGGTGAGGCCCAGCATTTCGTAATACTCCGGGTCACGCACCGGGTCCTGCGAGCCATCGGGTCAGGGCAGTCAGCGCCGGGTCAGGGCGGGTCAGGTCAGCTGTATGTCAGGCCAGCAAGGCCTAACGTCGTGCCAGGCGGGAGTCAGACCGTCGAACGGACATGCTGATTGGCAGCTTTGGCACGGAGAGAGCTGCCAGTGTTGGTGCGGGCCAAGACAAAGCTCCAACGAACCCGAGCGCCATGCATCCAGAGTTTCGAGCTTACAGGAGCTTTCGTCACACACATGACGTACGCGTATGAGCTTAAAATCCAGCAAAGTTGCCACGTCACAGCTTGATAGCGATAAGGGTGCCCGCCTCACCAAACTTAACACCCGAAGAGCAGTTAGAGGGTCTAGACACAGCCTTAACCACAGTTCGCCCGGTGTCCGGCATCTGGCATGCTGGCTCACATCTCAGATCAACAGGGGGTGCTGGTTACCCTCCAGGCCCAGACCGGGCCGCCACAGCAGGCCTGCCCGTACATGCCCCCCTCCGCCAAAGCCGCGGCCCGTGTCCGGGCCCGCTCCGCACCAGGATCTCGGCGTTGAGCTCCCCTCTGACGTCACTCAGCGCGCCCACGTCCGCCCAGGTCACGTTCGGCACCGTGATGAAGCCCTCACGCAGCGACGACGGCTGCAGCTGGGGACGCGCCGTCGCGGAGTCAGCCGGCGCGCGGGCAGCAGTGCGCGTCGTCAGGGACACTGCCGCTAACAGCAGCACACGTGGTGAAGAGAAACCAATAACTAGAAGCGTTGAGCGCTTTTGCTGCAAGTGAGGCAGCAAACAGCTCTTTTATGCAGTGGAACCTGATCATTTCCAAGGGGCAAGCAATGAACACATGCGACGAAATAAACCACGTCAATACAGGAGGCGTATACTACACAGTTCAATAGCGCCTACCAAACACTGATATGGCCAAACCTTACAGCAGTAACCTCGTTTTAACTGAGCCCTATCAGGAACCCTCACAGACCATCCAGCCCGCTCTCAGCGCCGTACCCTCTTCAGCGCGGCGGCAAAGTCATCAGCCCTCAGCTCCACCAGCTCGGTCCGCTTCTCTCGGATCTTCTCATGGAACGTCTCGAGGTGCGCCTTCAGCTGGGCGCGCAGCAGCTGGAGGCGCGGGCTGCGCGCCACGGCCAGCGGAGCCGGCGCCGGCGCCGGCGCGGCGCCCTCCTCCGTGTCCATGATGACGGGCGCCGAGGGCGTGGACGGCGCCGAGTCCATGGTGACGCTGGGCGCCGGCTCGGCGGCCGGCACCGACAGGCCAGCGCCGCCTGCCTGACTGCGAACCCTGCGGCGACGGAGGCACGGCGTGGAGCGGGGTGAAGATAGTGCACCGCGGCGGGGGGGGGGAGGGGGGAGGGGGGACGATCGGCGGCCGGCACCGACAGGCCAGCGCCGCCCGCCTGACAGCGAACCCTGCGGCGACGGAGGCACGGCGTGGAGCGGGGTGAAGATAGTGCACCGCGGCGGGGGGGGGAGGGGGGGGGGACGATCGGCGGCGTGCCGGTGAGGTGGCGGGGCGCATGGCTGAATGTCATCAGGTACACCCCGTGTGGTGCAAGACGAGGAGACCATGGCATGAGTCAAACAGTGCGGCGGTAGGAGACAGGTATCCGATCTCAGTTCGATGTGAATCGTGGACAGATTGTGTTCAGTAACTGTATGCAATTGAAACGTCCCGTGCCCCGGAAATGACACACCAAAATAAAACTGAGAAGCCACAACAAAACAACCTGAAGAAAAAAAAACGCCCAACATGGTTCAAAGCTTGCAGGCTTGAACGTGCCTTCCATATTTCGAATGTTCTGCACCTCATGAGCTCAATGCTCGACTCATCGTGGACTAAGGCTCGGTAGCCCTAGTCCAGGTGACCTGGTCCACAGCCGCCGCCACCTCCAACCATGACCCCCAGCCGGTCCGAGAGCCCAGCAGCGCGTGCGTACCGTTTCTTGGCGAGCCGGGTGACCTCAGAGACGAGCGCCCGCAGGTCGGCGCCCACGCAGCCGGGCGTCTGTCGGCTCACCTGGCGCAGGTCCACGTCCGGCGCCAGCCGGGCGTGACGGCACAGCACCTGCGGCACGGCACGGCACGGCACGGCACGGTCACGGCACGGCACGACACGGCACGGCACGGCACGGCACGGCACGGCACGACACGACACGACACGACACGGCACGGCACGGCACGGTCACGGTCATGATCACGGCACGGCACGGCACGGTCACGGCACGGCACGGCACGGCACGGTCACGGTCACGGTCACGGCAACGGCACGGCATGGCACGGTCAAGGTTATGGTTACGGTCAAGGTCACGGTAACGGAATGGCACGACACGACCAAGCACGGCACGGTACGGCACGGCGTGGCGTGGCACGGTCAAGGTCATCGTCACGGTCATGGCACGGGCACGACCACGGTCAAGGTCACGGTTACGGTTACGGTTACGGAATGGCACGACAAGACACGACACAGCACGGCACCACACGGTAGGGCACGACGTCGCCTGTACGGTCAAGGTCATGGTCACGGGCCACGGTCATGGTAACAATCACGATCACGGGCACGACATGACATGTCACGGCATGGTACGGCACGGTGCGGCACGGCATCAGTCAAGGTCAAGGTCAAGGTCATGGCATGGCACGACACGATACAACACCTGCGACATGCTACGACAGGCGGCCGACATGCCAGCACGGCAGGCGATGAAAGTATGCTGCATTACCAGGCAGCCAGGTCTGCTGGACTGTGGCAAGCAGGAGGTAACAATACAACACAGCGGGCGACAAGGACATGGCGTAGCGGGTGCAACGCCCCCTGCCGCGGCGCCAACCACCGGCGCTGCAGCGACGCACACGACGTCAGCTGCAGCTGCAGAAGTCCGAGCGGCCGGGCGTGGGCAGGGGCCGGCTTTGCCGTGGTATGCAGGGGAATCCGCAGTATGCCTGGGTACGCCAGCGTACCTGCAGTATGCCGAGCCGTCCGGCGGCGTCCGGGATGCCGAGGGCCACCTCCTGGTCGAAGCGGCCGGCCCGGCGGAGCGCGGCGTCGATCTGGTCTGGCAGGTTAGTGGCACCCACCACCAGTACCGAGCAGCCCGACTTGCCCAGCTCTATGGTGGAGGTAAGAGTTCGGTCAGTGCATACCAAGCAGTCTGATATGTCCAGCTTTACGACAGAGCGACAGGCGCCAGTGCTGTCAGAGAACACAGACGCCAACAGTCCGCTTTGTCCGGCTCCAGACCACACAGATGTGGAGTACAATCGGCACGAACTGAGGGGACTGAACAACGAACAGTACGAAAGGACCATCTTAAATTAGATTGGAGGACACGCCATCTACGAGAACACACCATCCTGACGGCCTGAGGCTGCTGCCACAGCCCTACAGCAGACATGCGTGCCGTTTTGCGAGCACGAATCGAGCGTGCCGGACATCCCGGGTCGCCACGCTCCGGAGCGGATAACAGACCACCCGGTCACCCAACATTCCCAAGCGGCAGGCTGACAACGGACGCAAGATCGCGGCGTGACACGAACGACATGCATAAGCTGACCCGTCTGAGCGTCCGCGTCTACACCGGCGGCGCTCGCATGAAAAGCGCAACGGTAACCCCTCGCCACCGACCTGTCTCTCCCCTCAAAAGGTGAGGTCAGCGCCGGAAACACAGCGCCACTTACCTCGGCCCACTGCACACATCACAGGTGTCACTGGAGGACGCATCACACACATAAACAGCTGCACGCACGGGCGCGGCAGCATTCAACACATACCGTCGAAGGAGCTGATTAACTGCGAGACGATCCGCTTCTCCATGTCCTTGTGTGCGTTCTGTCGCTTCGAGGTCAGCGCGTCAATCTCGTCTGCGCGGAGGGACGACACGGTCAGGTCTACGGCACCGCACCGCAAGGCTCGTGGTACCGTGACGCTCTGGTGCCGTCTATAACTGGCGTGAGCTTTTTCTGCGCGCTCAACATTGGCACCAGCGCTCGGGGCTACACAGAAATATCCCACTGTCACGCATTCCCAAATGCATTACTTAGTATGCGTTGTGGGTTATGGCCAGGATGATACAATCCATACGCGCTATACATACATACATACATATATATATATATATATATATATATATATATATATATATATATATATACACGAGTATATTCCAATGGGCAATACATGATCGCCCAGTTGCAGTGCCCCCAAGCCTTAGTAACTACCAGGATATCCCCATCAAATACCAAAATTTTCTGAATGCCGCCCCAATATCTAAGTCATCAGTCTAGATATGTTTCAAAATGGCTTGCAGCGGTGGTCTTAACTTCACATAATATATTTTAATACAGTTGTAAGCCTTTAATCGCATGTAACCTATTCACTTGAGCTTGGTGCTATAAAAGCACGCCTCTTCAGAGCTGCCTTTGCCGGTTTCCCCGCACCCTTCCGTCCGCTGTCAGCCATGGGAGTGCCGAGAGTCGCCCACCCCAGCGCCCGACAGCACCGCTCCCAGTGCGGGCCGCCCCGGTCCGTACCGATGAAGAGAACGCACGGGGCGGCGCGCTTGGCCTGCAGGAACAGGTCCCTGATCCGCTCCTCAGAGTCGCCCGACACGCCCGACACCAGCTCCGTCGAGGCCACGTGCACGATGGGCAGGTCCAGCTCCTGCGGCAGACGGCCGGCCGGCGGTCAGCGTCGCGCCCACAGAGGTCGCGAGTTCGCCGTCCGCTGCCAGCCCGGCCGGGGCCGTAGCAGCCCGGCTAGGACCAGCCGAGGGAGCTGCAGACACTGCTACGGTGCCGAACGCCAAGACGGGACCAACGAGAACGGGGAGGATGCAGTTGGGTGCGTCTGATGACCTGCGGTTAATAAACTTATCAGCTGCTGTAGCCCGCAGAAAATGTTTCGACCCAGCTTGGACTGGCCCACCTAGGAATTTGAACTTTTAGGGGAGGGGCAAGATTTGCCAGCTGTACAGGAGCACTGAGTTCAGCACCATGTCACGATGGTATAAGCCAGCCAGCACAAAAAACTTTACACATTAGCCTCTGGGCGCAAGATGACCTCAGTACTCGGCGCGCCCGAAAACGTCAATCATTATCATCAGCCCTATAACCTCCGCTTCTCACAGCGTCCCAGTTACCCTGCCCAGAGCGGCGTTCGCCCCATTCAGAGGCGCAACCGGGCCTTTTTTAAGGGGGGGGGGGGGGCGGAGCTCGGTGACGGCCCATTTTCAGCCTTATGCCGGGAGCCATACAAGGTGAAAACAGAACATGCAGGTTAGGGGGGGGGGGGGGCAGCCCCCTAGAGCCTCTCCCCTTGGCCCCTGGCCCTATCTTTCCCAGTCGGTCGTGTTGCTCGCCCAGCCTGGAGCGCGCGCGCACCTTACCCCGGCGACGGCGAAGGCGATGAGGGACTTGCCGCAGCCGGGCGGCCCGTGGAGCAGGACGCCTCGCGAGAAGGCCGCCGTCGCGTCGCTACACAGAGTCGGGTCAAGGAAGTCCTCCAGCAGGTCGCAGATCGACTGTGGGCGGGGCGGCACGCTGTCGGTGGCGGCGGACGGCGCCGGGCGGCGGACGGCACCGGGTGGCGGACGGTGCCGGGCGGCGGACGGCACAGGGCGGCGGGCGGCACAGGGCGGCGGACGGCGCCGGGCGGCGGACGGGCGGACGGCACCGGGCGGCGGACGGCACCGGGCGGCGGACGGCACAGGGCGGCGGACGGCACAGGGCGGCGGACGGCACCGAGCGACGGACGGGCGGACGGCACCGGGCGGCGGACGGCACAGGGCGGCGGACGGCACAGGGCGGCGGACGGCACCGAGCGACGGACGGGCGGACGGCACAGGGCGGCGGACGGCACCGAGCGGCGGACGGCACAGGGCGGCGGACGGGCGGACGGCACCGGGCGGCGGACGGCACCGGGCGGCGGACGGGCGGACGGCACCGGGCGGCGGACGGCACCGGGCGGCGGACGGCACCGAGCGACGGACGGGCGGACCGAGCGACCGGCGGCGGACGGCACCGGGCGGCGGACGGCACCGGGCGGCGGACGGCACCGGGCGACGGACGGGCGGACGGCACCGGGCGACGGACGGGCGGACGGCACCGGGCGGCGGACGGCACAGGGCGGACGGACGGGCGGACGGCACCGGGCGGCGGACGGCACAGGGCGGCGGACGGCACAGGGCGGCGGACGGCACCGGGCGGCGGACGGCACAGGGCGGCGGACGGCACAGGGCGGCGGACGGCACCGGGAGGCGGACGGCACAGGGCGGCGGACGGCGCTGGGCGGCCACGTCGCGGCTGTGGTCCTCCGTGATTTACAGATCGGCGACGGAGTGAAAACGTGTCTGTTTGGGACTTTCGCAATTCAAAGATTCCCGTCAAGTGTAGCTGTTGGTTACGTGCCGAGCGCGTACAGCATACATCGTGGTTATACGACACCATCTCACATAACTGTCATGGTTATGGACTGGGAGCAGAGGCACGTGTCGCAGCCGTCATGCACACAGCTTGTGTAGCGCCAACCTCAAGAATGCAGACCCCCCGGCAGTCGGCACAGATCACAGGGGCAATGAAAGCAGAGCGAAGCAGGACCAACGCACACACGGGGAATACCATACCAAACGCAACAAACCGCAGCGAACGCGTATCGACTAGCGGGTGAGTGCACATCATAGGTGATGTAGGGATTTATAATACAGTGAAGGGAGGAGGAAAATAGCCTCATCATTGAGCAAAACATATGAGGGTGATAAACTGGCAGACATAAATGTTTGACAACCGTAATTCGCAAGCATTTCAAAAACTTGCTTCACTACCCATCGAACTGACAATATACCGCGATAGCTAACCAACAGCTGTTGGCTAATATTAGTGAACCTAGCAGCTAGGCCGCACCGAGCTTGGCGCAAACAGACGATTGGAGGTGAACTACCATAAGGGCCTTGTCGTTGCCGCCCACATCGTCGAAATCAGTTGAGGACTTCTCCACCGGAAACGACTTTTTCCTCTTGAAGAAGTCGTTTTCCTCTTCGACCACCTTTCTCTTGCCGGGCTTCGGTGTCTGCATGTAAAAGGGCGACGACATGAGGCGACCTGGCAGAAACCTCAGCGATTGTCAAGGACCGTGTCAAATGCTAGCTAGCCATTGCAGCTGGTCACAACGATCATTAGCGGGGTCCCGGTTGTGTGCATCATCACAGCAGAGTACGCCTTGTACGTATGCGCCAACCGCCAGAGCGTGTCTATACCCAGTACGGACGACCCCACACCCGACAAACATCCCCATAATATCGGACACAGCCCTCGCAGCAAAACGATGCCACCCCCGCCGAAGTCCCACACACCTCACTCTCCTCGGCGGCCCTCTGGACCGACAGCCCACTGGCCCCACGCGGCCCAGGAGCGCCGTGCTCGCGCCTGGCAGCAGCCGGGCGAGGGCTCGGGCCACCTGCCATGACCGACCTTCTCTGGTTTGTCCCGCTCCACCGGCGGATTGGCGGGTAGGGCGGCCGCCTGGTCTGGTCCCGCCGGCGCCACCCCGCTGCTGCAAACAGCCAGCAGACGCGTCACGGCAGGAGGCCCCGGGCCCCCGATGCGGGACGGCACGCTCCGGTCCCGATGCGTGAGACTGACATGGTCCAGAAAAGGGATCGATGGAATCGGTGAGCAGTTTGGCTGGTGACATTGTGCCAACGCGTCACTGGAAACAACCGCTCGGCAGTCAAGCGTGGGTTTGAGTCATTTAATGGTTCAGTCAGCCGGGAGATAATGTTTGAAGGGACCGTACCCAATGAAAATTCTTGTCTCAAGACATTGTCATGCCAACAACACTGTCGGGTCCTCGCCTCTCAGAGGACTCAAGCTAAGACCAAAATTTACAGAGCTATCACATCATTACAGAAAAAAATTAAAAAGAAAGACACCAAATAAAACGAATTAGCATACAATCACTACACACATTTTAGGTAAAACACGATGTTTTGTGGGCTCAGTCCCATCAAAATGTCGAAAGGTGCGGCATGCGCCTCAGTTCATTGACTATCTTTCGGCATTATGAGTTCAGAGATCTTACGTAAAGTAATAGACCTTAAAATATCAGGAGGCACTGGTCAAACGGCGTGGGCCAAAAGTGAGTTATAGCATCGAGTATTGACACGATTATTAAAATTATGTACTGATCGATAGTATTGACAGTTTCCTCTATGACGTCGTTAAACTAGTACATCTAGGCATACTGAAGCTCGATAGCTCGATACACGAACTATGAACTCATAATGCCGACAACCGGGAGCTAAAGGGCTTTCTTATTTATATCAAGTGTATTTGTATTTACCTGCAGAGCTTTCCCTTGACGCTATAATGGTTGCACAGACTTTTGGCCCTAGTATTACCCCTATGGAAGACGCATGCGCTGCAACAATTGTGCTTACACGTTTTGACAGTACTTAAGCCCAAAGTGTTAAGGCCGGGAACAATTTCAGCTTGAGAAGCAACTGAGGGAGTCAGTTTTCTAGACGTCCATGTTGAACAAAACCACATACATTTTGGCTAAAAGCGTCCGACTAATCACAAGGTTTACACGGCCATTTTACGCCATCAGGGGTTCATCGATCATTTGCATGCGCCGAATGCACTCCACGAAGCATGGAACACAATGTGTGGACACCACCACTACATTCCCCAAGGGTAGCCAGAGAGCACGCGATACACAGGAAGAGCCTGCAGCCATATGTCAGGGCGGCATTCCCAAGCGTCCGTGGGGAGCTGGCCGACGGCTGCACACCCGCCGCGCAGCGTCGCAACGGACCAGAATTAGCGGTGCCGTGCTGCGGGTCACCGGTGGCCGGGCGAGCGGCCGCAGCAGCCAGAGCCCGGCCACCGGACACGACACAGCAGCGCCCTCTGTCACAAGCCCGAACAACAGAGGCGGCTGCCTTCAACTGCACCACACCGCCGCGCAAGCGGGACACACGCCTACCGCCGCCAGCCGCCTCGAGGTCGCGCAGCCGCCACCGCCGACCGCGTGGCTCCCTCCCTGCGGCGGCGTCGGCTGCCGTCACAGAGCTTAGTCTGTGTCGCAGCGGAAAACGCCGGCACACAAAAGTAACATACATTTAAATCTGCACAGAAAATGTATTCATTTATCTTACTTTACGGACCCATTTGTACCTAACAGAAAAGAAGAAGGGCTATCATTTGAGAAACCTCCCTAAGATGGAATGCTACTCAAATAATACGAACGTCAGAGCGGAACATTGCCCCTGTTTGGGTGCACCCCCGCCCTCCCCTCCGACGACGTTCGGACGCTGCGCCTGTGTACCGGTCGACGAAGATGCTGTCGCCGTCGCCGTCGCCCCCCTCGTCGCCGGCCGAGGCGGACACGCTGTCACCCAGCTCCACGCCGCCCTCCTCCGTGGTCTCGCCGCTGCGCGTGATGGTCGGCAGACGCGTGTACAGCTCCGTCAGCGAGTTGTTGATGGTGTTCTCGTCCGACTGCAGGAGGCAGTGGCGTTGGATTGCGGTTGAACGCGGAGGGGTGAAGGGCTGAGCTGGGGGAGGGGCTCCGGCAGTTGAACTTGCGATTAAAGAAGTGCTTTTTAATCATGAGAGGAACACAACGCACGTCGACACATCCCTTTTCGGCACCACCAGCGACTGCGATGGCCGTAATAACGCTCAGGCCCATAACACAACCGGGATTCGAACCTGGGCCTTCCACGCGCGAGTCTGACCCGTTCATCCCTCGGCTATTATGAACGTTAATTGACCTGATGGCTGGCATCACGTACACCCGAGGCACTGAACAGTTCGGGCACATGTGGTCACCCCGAGTCGATGAGCAAAAGAGAGCCTGGAGGTGCAAAACTATGGAACTTCGGATACCCGTGCAAATACCGATACACACCTTCGCTTGGCTTTCCTCATCGGCTGACTCCTCTTCCGAGCTGCTGGATGAAGCGAACTGGTCTTTCATTTCAGTAGCGACGTACTCGTACGCTGAAAGCCAGGGATAAATTTGCATAACTGTAGACTTTTAGTTATCTATCTATCATTACTAACACTTATTCTGATAGATGATGTAAGCGAGTGCCTAGTAAAAGCTACCACAGAAATCGAATGCTTTTGTCACCGGAGACGATGTGAAGATGCGGCAAATCCAATGCCTACTTACGCACAGTGGATGGTCACTGTTAAATACGTGATGGCTACGGACATCACGCCCCATCTAAATAGGACTGCCGCCACAATACCCTGCGCCAATAGTCCACGCAGAGACCGAAACATTACTGGCGGTACCATATTTACGTTTTCACACTTTACTTCATATTATAAACGATACTCACCGATACTCAAACGAACACTTAAGCGCTTAAACAAGCGCCTACTATACCTGGCCCACGTTGCCGGAAAACACGAAAATCTCCGGCAAGTACGAGTCGTCATTCGCCTTAAAACCACACCAGCACGCAGAACCCAGCAACGATACCTCGCTGGACGAGAATGCGGAAGGCCAGCTTCTTCTTGTGCTTGTACTCGCGGTGCGTGGCCTGCAGGTAGTCGGTCAGTTCGTCCAGCTCCACGTATTTCACGTCCCCCAACTCGTGCAGGTACTGAGGGGGGGGGGGGACATTACCACTAAGCTCTGCGTGGCGCCGATATACGCAGCTCAATCAGGAGAATTGCAGCAGTTGTCATTGAATGAAGGTGAATGGCGACAAATATGAGCATGAACATTGATACAAAATTGCTACAATCACTATCAGCATGTCATCACCTAGAGCGTGTCGAGAAAGCAAGTACCAAAGCTGATTTAAATTGTCTTATTGTCTTGCTCACATTTTGCACTGTTCACAACTGGGAGATTCAAGCTGTAGCACAATGTACATCACAGATAACTCACCAGTCTCACTCGGTGTATCAGAGTCGAGTCAAGGGAATATGGCATATTTCCATATAGTCTTTTCCCGTGTCTTGGCTTTACTCTAGGCATTTTGGATGAGGAATGTTGGAGCAATGGTGCTTACCCTGCACACAGAGAAAACTGTTAGCAGAAAAGTTGTGATTCAGAATGGCAACAAAAGTCATCATATCATGAAAACACGGGTCATATCAAAATAATGATCAGGATGACTAACAGTTCAAATCCAAGATGTGGACAGCTTGTAAAACCATTTGAGGCTATCAATATCACCATCACTACCATCAAGAAAAATAACCACCAGGTAACCTGAGCATCTCTTCTAAAAAATAACTAATTTTGTTGTCTTAAAAAACTTGGCTTAACTTGCTGATTTGGTGGATTTCCCAGATTGGGGCTCTTGCTAAGCAGTGCCTGTTGTGTGAACCCTAATGCCCCCATCTAATCATTACATTTCAGTTCGACAGAGGAATTCTTGAGTGAATGTTCAAACATTCTGCAATGTTCAGTCTTTGCTGAATGTTAAAACATGCTGTATCAAGGTATAATTGATTCCTTTCATAATTGCATGAGTCTGAACTAAGTTCAGCACATCAGCAGGAATCACTACACTGCAAACTTAAGTGCAAATTAAAGTAGCATAATATAATTAACCTAATCACTTCCACACATGCTACAAAAGAAACACCAAGCACACAGCTATCATTGACATGCTTGTTTTTGGCAGAATGTTAGGCAGCCCATGATGCAGTTCACCCCATCAACTATTGCTATTCCTGATCCAAATGATGGGATGTGTTGATTTCAATCAGTGTTAAAGTCACAGCAAGCTAAATTTACAGTGAGCTAAAACCATCATTAATTATGGTGGAAGAGAAACACACACAAATCTGGTGTGAAACCTGCTGAATGATGCATGGCGTAACAGACAATGGGAAATGAAAACTGTAAGAAATGCATGGTACACATGGCAAATTATACATAGTTCAACTTACCCAGAGACTTCAGTGAGTGTACAGTGACCAAGTTTGGTTGCCTCAAGTTTAAGATTGCCTCCCCTTATTGACATACATGGAGACTCAATGTTTCAGGGAACAAAAATGCTGCATTGTGAAAATCAAGCAAAAATATACCCACTTCAATACCACACTTATGCTTGAGCTTTAACATGCATACACACATAAAGACATCTGGCCAACAAAGAGCCACAAGGGCCTATCAAGGTACAGGTTTTGCACATAGCTCTTCAGGTCTTGCACATATCCTTGAGATTAATATTACCACCTGACCTGCCTGAATTTAGCTATAACTGAGATATTTAGGCCAATAAAACTTGTACCAATGATTTTCAAATGCTGCCAGAGAAAGACTTCCTACAACTTTGCTTCTTAGTCAATTCCAAAGATTCACTATTCTTTGACTCAATAATGTCTCTTCATAGTTCTGCTTCTACCTTTAACTAGATGAAACAGGCTTCCTCAAAGTATATGTGTGATTTCTAGGGCTCCATGTCAATCTAACTTGCCTGTTCACTTCATAATCTTGCTTCCCTTAGTCAGATCTCCTATAAGTCCATCATATTTCAGCACACACAAATTCAAGGTTCTGGTTCTGGTTCAAATTCTGGTTCTGGTTCAAATTTAAATTCAAGGTTCAAATCCTGATCTTCTATGTTACCATTTATCATCTTAGTTGCTTTTCACTGCACTTTTTCCAGCCTATTCATTTTTGGGGAAGCATGGGAACTAAGCCTGTACACAATACTCTAGATGTGGTCTGACATAAGCTAAGTCAACTTTTTAACAGTGTTCATACTTGTGTCATGGTCACTCCTGTTAAAAACCCCAACAACTAAGCTGCCTTGCTTTTAGCATACCCACATTGCTTTTCAGCCTTAAAATATCTTGAAATGATAGGCTCAAAGTGCTTTTCTTTGTCAATCTGGGCAAACTCCCCATCTCACATTTTACAACTAATGCTCTCACTGCCAAAATTACCATAATATCTCACCTTGCACTTATCAAGATTGTTTAACACCTGCAACAGAGGGGCTTAATTTACTAGTTTCTCTAAGGCAAGCTGAATTTGGTTCACCTGGTCAGTATTTTTCATAAGCATACAAATTTCATATCAGCAAATTTTAGCATCCTATGCTCTAGTCCTACCTTAATATATTTCACAAAAATAATAAAAAACAACAGGCCCAACACTGACCACTGTGGAAACCCAGTTCCTACTAGCTCCCATCGTGATTTTGCACCAATGAGCACATCTTTGTTTCCTGTCCAGCAGCCAAGCCCTTACCAAGTCAAGAATATTTTCCCTCAAAGCCATGCAATCTTAATTGCTGTAGCAGATGCTGGTGTGATGCCTTAGCAAAGAGGCCACACATGCACACATAATAGATTAAGCACAGCAATACCGCGCGTCCGAGACTGTGGACGCTATTTTGCAAAGTGGGGAAATGCTACCATTTCGCCTGTTGACATCCAATAAAACGTGATACGTGCATAATGACTGCAGCTATTTGGGTTACAACAACCACCACTACGGCTAACATCACAAACAAAACACACCCATATAAAAGTAGAAAATATTACGCCTCGATCGCAACCATCGCAACACACACCGCAACACAGCAGCGCGTTGGGAGAAACAGAAGAAACCACGCTCCTTTGCACAGATTTCCTAATTACGCGTTATTGCGCTCAACTGTCTCAGCTGCGTTAATACAGCTCACAACTTATTTTGCTTCCATTTCAAAGGTATTGCTACCAAATTCTAAAGTATTTTTGGTATCGCGGGCTTGTGCATTTATTGGCGGAAAAAAGAGAAGTGAGCAGTGTGTGATTCCATAGGAGCTAGGTAGGCTACATTCAAATCACAAGTATGATAAGCCAAAAAAAATTCATCCCTATTCCGGTTCACGGTGATGGAGTGAGCTCAGGCCAAACCCAGCATCAGCCGGAAGCCTGAGAGGGTTTGTATCAACGCTCAGTTCTAAAAATATGCCCAAGAAGTTACCTTCACAAAATAAGTTTTGGGGCGGGGGCTGAACAGTGAGAACCAACCCGACCTAATCTCAAAATATGTCAACCAACAGGTTTCTCCCAGATTTGGTCAATTTCCCTCGCAAAGTAGAAAGGCTGAAGTTCCCCTCCTCCTCGCCAACTGAATAACAAATTCATCCCTGAATATACTGACTTGATGGATTCAATATTTCTGTTTTACTGAAGCGAAATCAAGGTCCAAACTTGACCACGGGATATGTGGAAGGCCTAAGTACGTAAATGCACGCGTAAAATGCTTTAATTCAAGCACACATGCCACCTGGCATGATTTGTAACGTGACTCTACATCCACGACTAAATCATATATCAGATGCGCTCATCGGTGCAATACAACCACTCGTTTGTTATCGACTGCCTGAAAATATAATGATTACTAACTCTAGTCTCATCTACAGCGTCAAGCTCAAGCCGGTGGACACTTAACGCTGAGGCCCTTCAACCGCACGGGTCCTCGCATGACTGAAATTGTCTGGGTCTCCACAGGACATTGACTGCCCACACAGGACAGCGATGCTCAACAATAAGACAAACCGACAAGTATTCCCACTGTATTTGTACTCAGGCAAGTTATCACCAGTTCCAACCACACATTCAAGCGAATGGAATTCTGCGCTGTGGGATGGCACCTCGGAACGGCACACCGGCACAACAGTCACGCACACAAATAGCAATAATTAAAGTTACAAACACAATCAACCTGGTACGCCATGGCAGTTGTCAGAGCTAGGCTGCATAACACGATCATTGCTGTATAGGGTGCGCAACTGCACGTGCGCCCCGTCGCCGGAGGTCTACGATCACAGGGGTCGGGCGACAGTCACAACCGCCGCACCACACTTAACAGAGGTGGTAAACGAGCGAGAAGGCCTTGCGCAACTGAAATCATCCACAATAGCGGAGCACATTGATCAAAGTGAACCGTCGCGGGATTATTGCATCACAAGAGCACTCTTAAAAACGATTCCAGCGCCGCGTCCAGCTCTATTGCAGTCGACAGCGACAAACCAGAATACAAAATGCCTGAATCGATTCGCAGTGGATCGGCAAGTGCTGGCGCTAACTACAGCCGACTGATCCTCTCCGCCAGCGCCAGACGCCGACGCGGGAGCACGCCTCTGCGCGCGCACGCCGCGAAGCGCAATCCCTCCGGCGCCTCAGCGCTCCCTCCAAAGATCGAGGGAGCCCCGGCCGGGCCCCGACCGCCGCTGCGCTGGCGCTTCTACGGCGAGGATCCGTCTATCACCAGCTTCAGCTCCCCGGCCGCGCGCGACACGTCCAGGACGGCGTCAGCCATCTCCTGCACGGCGTGCGCGCTCGGAAACTGCAGCGCCGCCGTCTTGGTCGTCTGCACAGTCCGCTTGAGGCTGTCGAAGAGCGCGTCCGAGGCCGCGAGCACTTCGCGCCGCACGGCGGCGTGCGCCACGTGACGGTGCACCGTGTCGCCGATGTACACGAGCTTGTGTGCACTCAGGATGACGAACTTGCCGTGCGCCACGAACACCTTCGGCGGCTGGTTGTTCTGCAGCGTCTGCAGGAAGGCGTCGATAGCGTTGTTGAGGAACTCGTGGTGGCACTGCGTCTGGCCGCGGTAGAACTCCAGCACCTGCTTGTCGTTGGCGTCGACGCGGCTGGAGCGGCGCCGCACTTCCACTTGCGCCTCCTTCAGCAGGTTGTCGAACGACCCGCGCAGCTGCTCGGGCAGGCATCCGCGCACCTCGTCGCCCTCGCGCTCCAAGGCGCCGCGCGTCTCTACGCATACGTAGTCGTAGTCGCTCATGAGTCCGGCCGCCGGCGGCTGCTCGTCCACCACACCACCCGCCGCCCGGCGGAAGATCAGCGAAGCGTTGCCACGCACGAAAGCCGCCAGCTGGCGCGCGTCGCCGCTCAGGCTCTGCGCGCAGGCCAGCAGCTGGTCCAGCGCGTCGGCTGGCGCGCCGACCGCACGGGCCAGCGTCTCGGGCGCCCAGCCAAGCTCTTCCTGCGCTATGGCGGCGCGCTCCACTAGTCGCACCGACTCATCGAGAGGCCGAAGCACCTGCACGAATCGGTCGCCCAGGCCGGGGCCCGGCCCCTCCGCTGTCGCCACCATTGCGCCGTAAGCGAACTGCACCAGCTCGCTCAGCGCCGCGCGCATGCGCACCACGGTCAGCTTGATGTCGACGGCGCAGGCCTCCATGTGCTGCAGGCGCCGCCAGCCAGGCACGATGAAGGAGAAGAGGCGCGTGACGGTGGCGTTCAGCTCCTGCTCCAGCCGCGAGATCGTCTCCAGACCGGCCTCCGAGTCAAGCGGCAGCTGTCGCGGCTCGCCCAGCTCTGAGAGCGAGGTGGTGCTCAGCCCACCCGCGCTGCGCAGCCAGTAGGTGGCGTTGCGCGACACCGACGGCCCGCCGCGCGCCCTGTCGGCCCGGATGATAACCTCAGCTTCGTCCGTGCCGCCGCTAGTGTCGCTGATAGCGCTGGTGCGGCACGAGGCGGGCGCCGACTGCAGCGAGTCGCGCGAGTCCTGCGAGGGAGACGCGATGCGCCGCGGCGAGTCGTAAACGTCCGTAGGGTCGTAAGCCGTCAGTGCAGCGCGCGGCGAGTCGTACGTGCACTCAGCCCCCGCCGTGTCGTACTCGTCCAGATCCGGCCGCGGAGATTCGTACGCGTCCAGCGTGGCCCGCGGCGTGTTGTACAGCTGCTCGGCCACCCTCGGCGAGTCGTACAGGTCCAGTGTGTCGAGCGTGTCGTTCGGCGAGTCATACTCCCCGTCGACGTCAGCCAGCGACTGCGGCGCGTCGTAGATCTCCAGCTGGGCAAGCCGTGACACTGGCGGCGGCGGCACGTCGTACGTCTCGCCGCTGCTCGCGCGCCGCCGCCGCGACGACGGGACGTCGTACGTCTCGCCCTCGTCCTCGGCCGGCGGCGGCGCGGCGGGCGCCGGACCGATGCGGCGCGGCACGTCGTAGTCTTCCGCGGCGTGCAGGCCGTTCTCAGGCACGCGCTGCGAGTCGTACAGGCCGTTCTCGGGGATGCGCGGCGGCAGGCGCAGCGCCTGCGCCTCCGGCGCCGCCTCCAGGCTGGAGCGGCTCGAGCCGGAGCTGCTGGAGCTCCGCACTGAGCTGCCGGCCGACGTGATCGACACGCCTGAGCAGCGGTTGGCGGCCAGCTGAACGTCCGGCCGCGGCGCCGAGTAGAGCGCCGCACCGCTGAGAGATGGCAGCACCGGCGCGGCGGCCGCCGCCGCCGGCCGCGGCGCCGACGGCAGTGCAGAGGTCGGTATCCGCAGAGGCCGCGGGGTGTCGTAGTCCTCCTGCTCGGGCGGCGGGCCCGCGGCTACCGAGACGGGGCACGGCGGCGTGTCGTATACATCTGGAAGGCGAGATGTGCGTGTCAGGGCTGCGTAGGCCGATGCCACGACTGCACCGGTGGCGTCGACGACGGGGCGTCAGTCAGGGCACGCGCTGTGCTGGGCTTGATGAAAACGAACGATTCTTACATTTGAGGTATGATTGCGCACTCTACACCTGGCTTAGAAGTAAAAAGGGGCTTTGCAAACATGCGAGCTAAGGCGTTAGCAGAGGTTCTTAAGAGAAGACAAAAATTGGCTGATTTTTGGTAGGTTTGGTTTCCTCATGTCCCCAGTGTGATGAGGCAGTCTAGAGAAGCAGATTAAATGGCAGGTGTGAATGACAGTGGATGAAATGGTTTTCTCGTTTGCCTTTCTTATAGCTTTTTCACTCATAGCCATCATACCAGACTTTCGCGATACAAGAAAAGACCAAAAGGATCCGACGGGCCGGCGGTGCTGGATTATTACTGCCACCGAGCCGTACTCTGCTCAGTGACACTCCGTCGGGGAGTGTGCGGTCACTTGGGCGGGACTTAACTCAGACGGCTGTGCGGCCGACTGGAGGCCCATGGCGCAGCTGTTCTCGATGCCATGCACGCTAAGGGAATATGAAATCAGGGATAAGTGAGGAAAAGGGGATAGATAGTTGCGTTGATTGGTTTGATATGGCTTCGCGACCTTGGAGCCCTTCCGGCCATCATTGACTTTTTCACGGCTATAGGGGTTACCGAGGGAGGAGGCGTACGTGGGTAACACATTGACCACGCTTGCCCCCCCCCCCCCGCACCGACCGGAAGACTTTGCTGCCTATGGAAGACCAGCCAGGCCTGTTCGGGTGCTCAGACGGGGTGTCACCAGGATCGCTACATACTCCTGACGACGGCAAACGCCATGGGGACGCAGGATGAAGCAGCGAGTGGGGATGGCGGGTGAAAGCTCGATGAGATTCAAGTGCGGGTTGATTTGACAGGCGCCGTTCGGTGCACACATTCGAGAACCACTTGAGCCAACTCCATCGCACGTCGTTGACTCAGGACACGAACGATCGACAAGTGTTTGCACGGTCGACAGACGACGAGCCGGTGGCGTCCAGCCATACCCACCGGACTGGTACTGCCGTGCTGATCCGTCCAGTTGGTCCGGCTTCAGGCTGGAGGTGCTCTGGTTCAGCGGCGACATCTGCCGGACGAGCACACCTCGCCGTCAGCTGATTGTGAAGACGGATTCTTCTGGAGAGGGCTATTATTTGGTATTCACGCATGACGCGGACGAACCCAAGGTGAGGCTACGTTCGCTGGCGCAGTGCTAATTACCTCAACGAAGTAACATCAGCTCCTGAAACATCGGGATTCGGCTTTTCGCAAATTTATCGTAGCTTTTGTCCAGTCCCATCTCAATGTCCTCACTGGCTACCGCCTCATTTCCTCACAGCATCAACAGTCATATCGCACACACGTGCTCTGGCACGCACACGCACGCGGGCGCGCACGCGATAAACCTCTGAAGTACACACACTTTCGCATCGGAGCAAGCACTCAACCCATTCATCATATGTCGGCGTCGCAGCCATGCATGTTTTACAATGCGCAGAGCGCGCGGCGCGCCGAAGTCAACGCCCGCCATTTCCGGTGTCCGACGAATGCGTGCCGCGCCGTCCGGGCCGGATCGTTTCCGGTTGTGCGCGGGTCTGGCCGGGCCGGCCAGCCGCGACCGACAGGCCCTGCGCTCGCCTTTCGTCTCTCTCTCTCTCTCTCTCTCTCCTCTCTCATCTCCTCATCTCTCTCTCCTCATCTCTCTCTCTCTCTCTTCTCTCTCTCCTCTCTCTCTCTCTCCTCTCTCTCTCCGCTCCTCTCTCCTCTCTCATCTCTCTCTCTCTCCTCTCTCTCACTCTCGTCTCGCCTCTCATCTCCCTCTCATCTCTCCTCTCTCATCTCTCTCGCTCTCTCTCTCTCTCACTCTCTCTCTCCTCTCTCTCTCCCTCTCTCTCTCTCCTCTCTCTCTCTCTCATCTCTCTCTCTCCTCTC